TTTGGAGCTCAAGAGGAAGATCAGGAGTGGAAAATGTGAAGAAGAGGTTCAAAAATGGTGAAAACCGCTTGGAGAAATTTCTCGGCGAAAACTCATACCGGCTGGATCAAAATATCGGCTAAAATCGCTATCGGGTGGTCTTTACCGGCTAAAAATCTTTACCGGGTGAAAACTCCATCGGGTGAAATTTTATGCCGAGGCGAGAAGTTTTTATCCGCTAAAAAGGTTCCCGCGGTACACGTTTCTCAGACATTTTCCTTACCGCGGGAAGCATTTCTCGGCTAAAATTATTTTTCACCCGCGCGCATCAAAGATCGCAAATCCAGGGAATCTTCTGGCCCGAATCAGTTGACGGGGACTTCACCAAAGTTGGAGATAATCAAGTCAAGATCATAGAACAGTTGGAATCTCAGAATTCGGAGCAGGGAGTAGAGAGATATCGCTACCGGAAGACACACCTGTCTTGCATGCATTCAAAAGCCGATCCGATGGGTTTCGAAGATTACATGGAACGATGCCCTTCCAGCTCGAATCAGTATACAGGGCCTTCATCAATATTAAAGATATTTGAGCGCTATTTCTGGAACACCTGAGATCACCCAATTTGGAGAGGTGGTTTGGAAGATATCGTCTCCAGAAGAGACATCGGTCTATAAGCTGTTTTTCCAGTCATTCCGATGCGGTGCAAAGATGAGCAATCCGGGAAGCCTTCCACTTCCCAAGCTCAGATGGTTTCTTCACCAAAGTTTGAGCTGAATGAGTTACCTTGATTATGAGACTGGTTTCAAGACATTTGGAGTCGTGTGCTGAAAGTTATCGCAACCGGAAGACAAGTTGATCAGTACGAGCCCAAGGAGTGTGATACGCGCTAAGTGTTTCTACGAGCCTCGGCATCATTACCTCTACATTGCTTAGGCCGAGGCTCGTCCCCTGAAGCTCTTTGTACTAGACCTTGTACTAACTTCCCGGTATGTCAAGATCGAGGTATGCATGCTGGAGAAGCGAAGCTGAAAACAGCTAAGTGTTGAACGTGAACCTCGGCTTAAAGACCTCGGTATTGCATGCCGGACTTCATCTTCCTGAACCCCTCGACTAACAAGCTCCTCGGCATTGCATGACGAGGTCCCTTGTCACGAACCCAGATTCAAGAACAAGTTGACTCAGAGAATGCACGTAAAGATGGATTGAAGATTAGGGTTTATGCATGTTCTTGACATGTTCTTCATGAGATCTTCATCTTGACCTTTGCTCACGTGCACCCCTCGGCATCAAGACCTCGGCTTCAGACTCTCACACACCGAGGTGCTCACCCGACGACACAAGAAGAGCGTTCAGTACCCGGTTTGTTCCGGGCTGACCCGCAACACTTACCCTTCACTATAAATAGATTTTAGGACCAGAAACCTAATCATCTTTTATCTTATCTTATTTCCTACCTGTTTTAGCTTTAAGAACTTGCCTCTTTTGTGAAACTTGATTAATCTAATCTGATATCTCGTTTTCACGTAAGAATCTCGTTCTTGTCCATTTCTTTTATTCGCCAGCACTAAAGCTTCTAATCATGACCAGCTACACGTCTTGCAAAAGACTTAGTGAGCTCGTTATGATCAGTGAGTAGTCCATTTAAGAGGTTTTAGATAGGTAGATTAGGGTGTTTCCAAGATAGATTAGTGAGTTTAGGGGTCTAGCTTGCATGTTTCATTCCTTAGCCATTCTTGTACTCTAAGCTGGATCCAAGCACATCACTTGCGGTCCAGATCTGAGACTTTCCTTGCATCAAATGTGTTTGAGGAAATGTCTGAACCAATTGGCTAAGGGTTTAAGAGTCTTTCATCGTGAGAGTGATAGTTTGTTCTCTTAAACGACTTATTGAACTGTATCTTAAACCTGACTGATTCATGCTTCTCAAAAGGGATTTTGGTATGAAAGAGAATCAATTTAGATGTTTAATGCCTTCATGAGAGGATTATCATATTTTGAGTTCATGTTAAATGAAAATGTTTGCTAATATTGATTCATTATCTCGCTGGTTTAGCTTGGAGACACCCGAGTCCTTTACCCTGTCTAAAGCCTCTGCCTTTATCATCTATTATCATCATCCGACCATTTGCTCATTTACTTATTATCATTTGCATCTTCATCTAGTCTAAATATCATCGCTTGTTTTATTTTCATGATTATTTGCTTTTCATATAGATTAGTTACCAAAAACCTTTACTTGATCATCTTGACTTAAGATCACAAGTAACATAGATTAGTGCCTCTCCACAAGTTTGGTTTTAAAACCCCTTGTACTACAAGACAGGGGATTGATAACCTCTATAAAGAGCTTGAAAACTCTTAGTTATCAATTGTTGCTGTTGCCAACTTGTGGGAGCATTAGTTTCTTACTTGTTCTTGAGATCAAGACTTTACTTTCTTTTGTTTTACTAACTCTTTTACAAGTTCTGGCTTTACTTTCGGGTGCATGAAAACCAGGTCTCGCAGCACAGAACCGCCTCTCCCTTACGACAACAACATCAACCGAATAGAACGGAGGGCACGCGAGAGAGAATGGCACTTTGAACGGCTTGGAATGGCAGAACAGCAAAGGATTGAGCAGCAGGCTCAAGATGCCGAGCACCAGGCTCAGGCTAATCAAGCGCAGGCCGAGAGGAATGAACAGCAGGCCTATGTTAATCAACAACAGGCTCAGAAAAATGAAAGGCTTGCTCAACAAAACCAACATCAAGCCAACAGAAATGAGCAGCAAGCACATCATATTCCTCCGCCACCACCACCAGCTCAGAGACAACCTCCTCCGGTCTTTGTTGGAGAAAATGACCGAGCAAACGCGCATCAATATAGAGCCGGGATTCAGGCACCACCTGTGCAAAACAACAACTTTGAAGTTAAAGCTTCCCTGCTCAGTATGGTGCAGAACACCAAGTTCCACGGTCTACCCCGAGAAGACCCTCTTGAGCATCTTGATCAATTTGATCGAGTTTGCGACCTAACGAAGATAAACGGGCTATCAGAAGACAGTTTTTAAGCTATGCCTGTTCCCATTCAGCCTCCGTGATAAAGCACACCAATGAGAAAAGAACCTCCCGAGGGGTTCTATACAAACATGGGAGCAATGTAAGCTGGCATTCTTGTCCAAGTTCTTCTCCACATCACGCACGGCCAAGCTGAGGAATCAGATCTCCAGCTTCACACAACACACCAACGAGAGTTTTAGTGAAGCTTGGGAACGGTTCAGAAGCTATACCAACCAATGCCCACACCACGGCTTCTCGGAGGCATCCCTCCTGAGTACTTTATACCGAGGTGCCCTCCCCAAGATCCATAACCAACTAGATACAGCCTCCAACGAGAATTTTCTTGGGAAAGAGATAAACACGGCAACGGAGCTCGTGGAGAACCTTGCAATGTCTAATGACACCTATGGATAGGATTTCGACAGGGCTAACCAATCTGAAGGATCTAGTAAAGAGTTGCGAATAGAGAAAGACATTAGAGAGCTACAGAGAAAGCTTGACAAGGTTCTAATGGCTACAGAAAAGCCAATACACTTTGTCGGCGAGTTTGATGAGCAAGGGCCAAGCTTTGATAATTTCAATGAAGATGGTCTCACACAGGAAGAGATAAACTACATAGGGAACCAATAAAGGTATCAGTGGTTTAACAACTTTGGGAACAATCCAAACCTCTCTTACCGAAACCCAAATGTAGCTAATCCTCAAGACCAAGTATACCCTGCTCAACAACACCAACAAAGCTATGCTCCTAAAGCTCCATTTCTGAATAGCTTTCAGCCCAAGCAACAGTTTGGTGGGAAACAACAAAGCTACAGTCAGCAGAATCAACCGGCTCAAAGCAACAACTTCAACAGCCAACCGCAGCAGCATAAGTTTCCACCAGGGTTCGGTCCCCAGCCAATGGGTAATCAGTAATAGAACCAAGGAACGGCTGAGAATCAGATGGGACCTGACGTCTGTGGGCTTCTACAGCAATTATTACAAGGCCAGCAACGAGTTGAGAGCCAGCACGCAACAATGCAACAAGATATACGGGAGCTTAAGCAGAATCAAGCTTCAACATCTTCAAGAGGTCCGGCTTTACCAGGAAAGCCGGAACCAAATCCGAAAGAGTATGTGAACGCCATCACATTGAGGAGTGGAAAAGAATTACAAGCTCCAGCACCTAAGCCAAAGCTCGTTGAGGACAACGAGCAAATTGGTGGGAAGGCAGCCTCAAATGATGCGTAAGAAGATGAGGTTTTAGAGAAAGAACCGGTCAAAGACAAAGGTAAAGAGGTGGAGAAGACACCTGAGCTTGAAAATCCACACGTACCACCACCTCTTATCAGCCTAAGATACCATTTCCAGGGCGATTCAAGAAGCAAATCCTAGATAGAGCCAAGGCAGTCTTTGAGAAACATTTGGAGAACACGCAAATGACTTTGCCTATCATAGATGTTTTCTTAGCTATACCACAACTTGGAAATTTTCTAAAGGATGCAATTCTCAACAAGACAAAGGAGCTCCAGGGTATGGTGATATTGAGTCACGAATGTAGCGCTATCATTCAGGGGAGATCTATACCAAGAAAGTTATCAGATCCGGGCAGCTTTACTGTGCTTGTGTGATCTAGGAGTTTCCGTGAGCTTAATGCCCTATACGGTGGCAAAGAGACTGGGATTTAAAAGCTATAAACCTGCCAAGATCTCCCTTGTGTTAGCTGATAGATCAGTGAGATTACCGGTGGGCTTACTTGAAGATTTGCCTTTGAGAATTGGTGAAATAGAGATCCCCACTGATTTCATAGTTCTTGAGATGGATGAGGAGCCTGTTGACCCCATCATCTTGGGAAAACCGTTCTTAGCAACAGCAGGAGCGATCATTGATGTGAGAGGAGGCATGATCGAGCTGCACATCGGTTCTGAAACTATGAAGTTTGACGTGAAGGAAATGATGAAGAAACCGGCCATTGGAGGTCAGGTTTTCTATGTTGAAACCATGGATGAGCTAGCTGATGAGATCCTAGAGGAGTTAAACGCAGAAGACCCATTACAAGTGGTCTTAACGCGGGAACAAAGTGAGCACGGGTACTTGAACGAGGAAAGCGAGGTGTACAAGCGTCTCTTGGACCAACCGAAAGAACTTGAAGCTGAGACAAAGTTTTTGGAGCTCAGGAAGAGTGGCCTCGGCATTTTAGACATCGGGGAGTCCAAGACTGTTGGGAGACACCTCAGGATATCATGGCCGCAACATTTTATGCCGAGGTCAGTGATAAACCACGCGAGGAAGCTGTTCCGAGGCAATGCAGCTTCGATGCTGATTGGAATGAGGCTGATGCATCCCCTGTTGAGCTCAAGCCTCTACCAACAGGGCTGAGGTACGCTTTCTTAGGCTCAAACTCTTCATATCCTGTGATCATCAATGATAACTTGTTAGAGCATGAAGAGGGTGCATTGCTTAGCGAGCATAGAAAGTTCAGGAGAGCAATAGGGTATTATTTGGCCGATATTAGAGGCATCTCTCCTGACATATGCACCCGCAGGATACACTTAGAAGACCAATCTATGTCTTCTATTGAGCATCAACGACGTCTTAACCCGAACCTCAAGGAGGTGGTTAAGAAGGAGATACTCAAACTCCTTGAGGCAGGGATAATATACCCAATTTCTGACTCAAGGTAGGTATCTCATGTTCACGTTGTGCCCAAAAAACAAAAAGGATGAGCTTATAGTCCAAAGAACCATCACCGGTCATCGCATGTGCATAGACTATAGAAAACTGAATTCTGCTTCTAGGAAAGATCATTTCCCTTTGCCATTCATTGATCAAATGCTTGAGAGGCTGGCTAATCATCCTTATTTTTGTTTTCTTGATGGGTACTCGGGTTTCTTTCAAATCCCCATAGATCCCCGAGATTAAGAGAAAACAACATTTACATTCCCTTATGGCACTTATGCTTATAGAAGAATGGCTTTTGGTCTTTGTAATGCACCTGCGACTTTTCAAAGGTGTAAGATGCATATCTTCTCTGACCTCTTTGAAGAGAAAGTGGAGGTGTTCATGGACGACTTTTCTGTCTATGGCTCCTCTTTCTCCGATTGTCTTTCTAACTTGTCTCAGGTTTTAAAGCGATGTGAGGAGCACAGGCTTGCCTTGAACTGGGAGAAATGCCACTTCATGGTTCAAGAAGGGATTGTTTTGGGTCACAAGGTATCAGAGAGAGGCATAAAGGTGGATAAAGCCAAGATCGAGGTTATGGTGAATCTGCAAGCTCCGAACTCGGTGAAAGGGATAAGAAGCTTCCTTGGGAATGCAGGGTTCTACAGGAGATTTATCAAAGATTTCTTTAAAACAGCTAGACCTTTGACGAGGCTGTTGTGAAAAGAGGTTGATTTTGTCTTTGATGATGAGTGTGAGGAAGCTTTCAAGAAGATCAAAGAGGCGTTGATCAGTGCACCGATCGTCCAAGCCCCTGATTGGTCATTACCCTTTGAAGTGATGACGGATGCATCAGATTATGCCGTGGGAGCTGTCTTGGGGCAGAAGAAAGATAAAAATCTCCATGTGATCTATTACGCAAGCCGCACATTGGACTCAGCTCAAGAGAAGTACACGACTACCGAGAAAGAAATGTTGGCCATTGTAATTGCGTTTGATAAATTCAGGAACTATCTCGTGGGATCAAAGTTCATTGTCTATACAGATCACGCAGCCTTGAGATACCTAATGGCCAAGAAAGATGCTAAGCCAAGACTTCTCAGATGGGTTTTGTTGCTTCAAGAATTTGATATGGAGGTGCTTGACAAGAAAGGTATTGAGAATGCAGCTGCTGACCATCTCTCAAGGTTGAGAATCGAATCACAAGTACCTATAGATGATGCTTTGCCCGAAGAACATCTCATGTTAGTCAAGTCCTATCTAGAAGTGGAGGAGGCCAATACGATCAGGGAAAGAAGCCTCCCATGGTTTGCGGATCTTGTGAACTACTTGTCATGCGGGTCAGAGCCACCAGAGCTAGATTCCTATCAGAGGAAAAAGTTCTTTAGAGATGTGATGAGATATCATTGGGATGAGCCGTATTTATACGTGCTTAACAAGGACCATTTCTATAGACGATGCTTAGCTGAGGAAGAGATTTACCCGGTGTTGCAAGAATGCCATGGTTCAGCATACGGTGGTCACTTAGGGGCTTTCAAGAGGGTAGCCAAGGTTCTACAGAGTGGTTTTTGGTGGCCGACTATGTTTAAAGACGCTAAGAGTGTTGTCTCAAGATGTGAGGCTTGTCAAAGGCACAGTAACATATCCAAGAGGAATGAGATGCCTCTGAATCCGATTCTTGAAGTCGAAGTCTTCGACTGTTGGGGCATTGATTTCATGGGTCCCTTTGTGAGCTCATACGGGAATCAGTATATACTTGTTGTTGTGGACTATGTGAACAAGTGGGTAGAAGCAGTTGCATCTCCAACCAATGACTCAAAAGTTGTGGTAAAGCTCTTTAATTTTCCCAAGATTTGGAGTCCCACGGGTAGTTATCAGTGATGGAGGTAGCCATTTTATCAATAAAACTCTTGAGAGTCTTCTGAAAAAGCATGGAGTGAAGCAAAAGGTAGCCAGCCCTTATCATCCTCAAACAAGCGGTCAGGTGGAGGTCTCAAACCGACAGATCAAAGCTATTTTGGAGAGGACCATGAGCTCATCTAGGAAAGATTGGAGCAAGAAGCTCGACGATGCTTTGTGGGCTTACAGAACCGCGTACAAAACCCCCATCGGCACCTCACCATTCAACTTGCTTTATGGGAAAAGTTATCATTTACCGGTTGAGCTGGAGTACAAAGCCTTGTGGGCAGTGAAACTTTTGAACTTTGATATCAAGACGGCTCAGGAGAAGAGGGTTCTACAGCTTGAGAAAATCCGTTTAAATGCTTTTAAGAGCTCTAAACTCTACAAGGAAAGAACCAAGGCGCTCCATGACAAGACGATACACAAGCGAGAGTTCAAAGAAGGGGACCAAGTTATGTTGTTTAACTCGAGACTTAAGTTATTCCCTGGAAAGCTAAGGTCTATGTGGTCTGGTCCGTTTACAGTTCTTGAAGTGAGGCCATATGGAGTCGTTGTGTTAAAGGGAAAAGATGTGCAAGGCTTTGTTGTGAATGGTCAGAGGATAAAGCATTACTTGGTATCAGAAGCAAGAGAGGGAGCTACCTCAGTTCCTCTTCTTGAGCCCGAAACTGCCTGAAAAGGTAAGTAAAGTCAAACTTAGAGACGTTAAACAAAGTGCTCTTGGGAGACACCCCAAGCTTATCCTTGTATATATTTCATTTTAATCTTTCTTTTTCTTTTTACTTGAAGCTTTTTGAAGGGTTTGTTAAGTGTTTCAGTTTTAGACAGCGTTCTGAAAGTGAATCTTGAGGGCAAGAAAGCTTGAAAAGACACGGCCTTGTGTTTAAGACAGGAGTTTCTATAGCCTCGGTATCGACTGTAACACCCCCGACCCGAGTCTATTCATGACTTAGATCGAGCCGGAAGCGTTACAACGCGGAGACAGACACGGACCGGCCCGAGCATCCCATACTACTCGAGCTAGTCCACGTCCGAGACCGTTCCTCGAGCTCACAGCTGATAACTTAGAGTTTTCTAGGCTCTAAATGAGGGGTTATCAATCCCTTTTGTCACTTTTCAGTACAAAGGGTATCAATCCATCATGTGTAGACACTAAGATGCAGTATCAGTTCTTAATTCAAGCCAAATGAGTGAAGTTTTGCTGATTAATGACAACTAAGAATGGAAAAACAAGGATTAAAGCTAATGATCAATTTAAACAAGCAAGTAAATGAGCTAAATGAGATGAGAATGTATGTATGACGATGAGAAAGGTCTTAGACATGATAGTGGATTAGGGTGCCTTTAGTGTTAAACTAGTGAGCTAATGAATCATGTGATCAAGCAAACCATTCAACTTAAACATCATTAATTAAGTTAATCCTCTCATGAAGGTATCAACTTCTATGCTAAAACAGTTTCTAACCTAATCATCATTAGTGAAACATGAATCAACAAGCATTGAGAACCAGTTTAATCTGTCATTTAAGCATATAGACAATCATTCCCATGATGAATAACACTTAAACCTCTAACAACCTTGGTTCAGGCATTTCATCAAACACTTTTGGTGCATAAAATGCCCAGAATCTAGACCACATATGATGTGTATGGATCCAGCATTAAGAGCAGGTTGTAGAGAATGGAATATGAATGATCTAACCCCTAAGCTCACTAATCTACCACCTAAGCACCCTAATCTACATATCTAAGATCTTAATTTGGGGATTACTCACTAATCATGATCAACACACTAGATCCTTTGCAAGATGTGTTGTTAATCATGATTAGAAGTGTGTAGATGAAGATGGAGATGATAGATTAAGAAGAAGACAGCTTTTAAACACAAGATCTCTCAAACTCTCTTGATTAAAACGTCCAAAATCAGATATTTCTCTTCAAAAGGAGTTTTCTTACACAAAAGAGGAAAAGAGATTATGGAATAAAGCTTAAGTCTTTGGGATAAAACCCTAAAAACTATATATAGGTCTTTAAAACGGATCGGGTCAGCCCGGAACAAACCGGGTCCTGACCCGGCTTTAATGGATAAAATGACGAGTGTGCGAGTTGGTCAGGAGCCTCCCAAGTCGCATGCCCAAGTCGCACAGCCAAAGAAGCAGTCTTGTGAGCCTTAAGTCCCTTAGTCTCAGCCGCATGCCCATCTAGGTGTGTTTTGCGAGTCTTCATGCGGTTCAGTCTTCTTCCTCTTCAACTCGCATGACCAAGACGAAATCTAGGGAGAATATGTGTGCGACTTGGTCCTCCTTTAGTCCCAAGTCGCATGCCTAACTCGCACAGCCAAAGAAAGAAGCTTGAACGAGATAGAACCCATGTAAGCTCAGCCGCATTACTCTCTCGGTGTGATTCGCGAACCTTCATGCGGCTTAGTTCTCTTTACTCCTTAACTCTCACGACCATGTAGCAGGGGCCTTCAGAGATATGTGCGGGATGGTCTCCATCACTCCCAAGTCGCATGCTCAAGTCGGTGTAAATTGCGAGTCTTCATGCGGCTCAGTTCCAAGCTTGGCCAACTCGCATGCTCAAGTCGCACGGTTGTGGACTTAGAATTTTTCTTGCTCGGGAACCTTAGACCTTACCCAGTGATACCTTACTCGCACATCTCAACACGCAGCTCAACCCACAGGCATTAATCTCCAGGCATTGCGAGTTAACCAAGTCGCAAGACCATCTCGCGGGCTTCAGATCTCCTTGGACCACTTCACATTCGTGGGAGAGTAACTCCCAAGATACTGGTCCAAATGGTGCGATTCTAACTTCAGTGGACAGAAAACTCAGACATATTCAACTTTGGTGAAGGAACCTTCGGCGTTTGGGAAGTGGAAGATTCCCTGGAGGGCTCATCTTCGCAGTGCATTGACACGGTCAGAAAGAGGCTTTTAGACATGCGTCCATTCCAGAAACGTTATCTTCTTGCTCATAGCTCCGAATTGAATGATATCAAACGTTCTGGAAAGAAGACTCAAATGTATCGGATCTTGATGAAGGTCTTGTAGACTGAATCGGTCTGGAAGTGCATCGTCCTGCTCACGGCTCTGGAACCATGATCCAATCCTCTCCAATTTTGATAAAGCACCCGACAACTGAATCGACCGGCAAAACCTTCGGGTAACGCGATTTCTGAGATGTGTCTTTACCCGGAAATTTTGGCCGAGAAACCTTGGCAGCGGTACGCGTTTTGGCCGAGGGGCTCACTCGCGGTACATGAAAATCGCCGATAAAAGTTGCCTGCGGTATGTGAGAATCGCCGAGAACCTCCAAGCTCTGATCGCCATTCCTCTTCCTGGATCCACCTTTTCAACTCCAAATAGCTCCAAATACACCTGATAAACACTCCAAACATGAAAGACTCATTGGGACCTAATGCAACTCCTAAGTCCTAAAACAAACCCTAAAGACCTAAAATGCATGAAATAAGATATGATTTGAAATGAAATATACAACCTAAATGATGCAAATTATGAACATATCAACTCCCCCACACTTGTCCTTTGCTTGTCCTCAAGCAAAAAAAACAAATGAGAGAAAGAGGTTGGATGCATTGGGAGTTCATATTCCTTAATGAGAGAGTGTATCACTAAAAGAATTCAAGGGTCACTGTCCTAGTTGCTAATTCTAAGATGCATTGCAAACAAGATTACTCACAAAACTTTAGCCATACTTATCAATAAATGAATCAAGCTCAAGCTTAAGTTTTCACAAACAGCCATAGTTCCAACCTTTTGACATTCATTAAAGCTCATGTGAATCATGTTTATGCAAAT